GCCTGGGCTCGAACCGGCAACCTTCTGATTACAAGACAAACTGCCAACTCTTGAGCCACGATCGGTCCCAGATGACCGAACCACCTCAACTGGATCCTTTCGATACAAGCCCCAGCCTACTGCCTCTCATCAAGGGCAACTCCAGACTGAGACAGAGTTCCAGAGCCCAAGCCATGCGTTGAGGTGATCTATATCTAACCAGTGACTCTCAGTCTCATGCACTAACTCCTTCCCCACCAGAGAGATAACGTTCCATGTCCCAAATGCAAGTGTTGGTAGCCGGGGATTGGTCCGCAAGGGCCTCCGCTCCTGGCCACTGCGCGGCACACATTGACCTGACCCCCACTGTGCCTCCAGCTGGTCGCCTGCAGGAGGATGGGCCCATGTCCCCTTTTCGGGTTGTGCCCGGCCACCAGATGCTCACCCTTGGGCACCCTCCCCGGGCCTGGGGATGGGGGCGCCCCGGTAACCCTATCCCGGACAGGGTGAACTGTTCCCTTGATCTTGCACACATCAAAATCTTGGATTTTATTGACTTTTCTTCCATGGGCAAACAAACAAATACAGGCTCAATACTGACTCTGAGTCACAGCAGTGTCAATGCCATCACTAATGCACCAGTTTAACCAATAAAATTTTGTAGCAAAATAGTTACATTTAAAGAATTATTTGAAAATGTGACAAGTAGATTATAGACACCGAAATAAATAAATCGCTACTTTTTCAAAAGGTCAAAAGGTCATCACTTTGGTAAGCGAAGCAAGAGTTTCTCAACAGGCTTAATAAAAAAAAAAAGCCAAATTTACTTAAGTGTTAAAAGGCTCCTCCTTAAGTCAACACATCCTGGTTGGGTTTTTTTTTTTTTTTCATTATATGCAATAAACTCTGCACAGCACCATCAGATGATTCACAGGAATCATAGTAGGAATCGAATTTGCTTCCACAGCATGTCAACAAATTTAACAGAACCTGACTGCAATTTTCAGAAACATTAAATACACTTGGACACAGTGCAGCTGTGGACACATATACAGGCCTACAGCTCATACTATATACACACTAAAGACATCCATGCATGAGGGATGTGAAGCAAACGTGAGCAAACTTTAAGACATATACGGGCAAGTCTTAGACAAGAAACACTATCAGGACGATTAAATTAATGGTACATCTCACTTAAAGCTCATGTAAGTCCACATGAAAACTATAAAGAATAACTTGTGTGATCTCAAATGTTCTGCAAATACCACGTTTACTTCTGGCACTTACACTTCTGTGTCTTTAGGGCAACTAGTAAAATTTAATTTCACATGTTTTTTGCATTTGTAAAAAGCTCTGAAAAACTCTTTCTTGTGTAGTGTAACCTACAAAGATGAACGCCTAGTGGCGAAAAACAAACAGGAGCTACCGGATGGCATTTCCTCCACTTTGAGCCCTGCTGTTAAGCAGCGCCCCCCTTCGTCGGTGATCACGTGTTGTCAGCTCCAAGTCAGCAAAGTTGTTGGAAAAGTTTTGACAAGACCAAGGATCTTCGACACAGCTGCAAAGAGACCAGGATCGGCGATTCATAACCGCTCCTAAACTCTGATTTTGAGTCTGGGGAAACAATGGAATCCGTTGCGCAGGTAAACGCGCTACAGGAAGAGTTTAGCAGTTAATGACGTATATCTGATGAATGGACATTTTTGAGCAAACACTCCTATTTACGCCCGACCCTCCTCGGCAGTGCAACTCCGTCTTTCTCACGCTGTGTCTTTATTTCCGATTAGAAAGTGATGACTTCGGGATTCAGTCTTGACTTTGGACCTCTTAAAGAGCCTTTGGCATTCATCCGTTTGCTAGAATGGGTAAGTTTTTTCCTCACTTTTCTTTTTTTGCTTTCTTTCCTTTTACTTTTTACCATATGGCCTGTATGGCGGGGTGTGCTTTGCGTAGGAAGCCGATCCTTGGCTGCAAAACTACTTCATAACTTGATTGTGTTATTTGTCTTGTGACCCACTGCTACGCCCAGATAAGCCATCCAATTCATCATTTGAGCTGTAGCACTGTTATAAATACGGCATGCAGTTGCACTCGAGTCAAGATGCCTTCCTATAATAGGCCTTTATGCAGCTCAAACCAAAAACCAACGTGTAGCAGGCAGGATGTTCGGTGTTCTGCACGCCAGAGGGTTTACAGTATAGGGTCCGATTAACATGCGTGGCCGCATAAAACCAAATTTTATTTCATATGTGCAGGTTGATATTCATTTCTGCGCTTCCAGCTACTGGATAAAACATTCTGGCAGCATTGCATAACTTTAAGACCGGATTTTGCTACTCTGTACAGCTGTCACCCTGATAGTTTTGTGTAAGACTTCCTGTCTTACACAAAACCAAACCAAAAAAAAGTTAATTGCATAAAATCTGGAAGGAAGTGTGGGTACATTTGTGTGACAGTTATGTTCAGCACTCTATCCTGAGCACCTAATTTGTATCCCTTTATCTTATATATTTGTGTGTGGGTGTGTGTGTGTGTGTGTGGGGGTGGGTGCAGGTCTTCTCCATATTTGCCTTTGCTACAACCGGAGGTTACAGTGGCTCATCCAGCATCAATGTCAAATGCAACGGAACAAAAAATAAAGAAATAACAGCAAACTTTAACTACCCATTCAGGTGCCAAAACAAACAGTGCCACACCTCAGATTCCAGTTTACCGGAAAGTGTGTTTTCTTTAACGATTGTCATAATTTCTAATGCGTTCTTTGTGTGTACACAGGTTGATGGATCATCCCTACGCTGTCCCTAACTGTAATGGAACATCCACTAATTACTTTCTGACTGGAGACCACTCATCCTCTGCGCAGTTTTATGTCTGTATTGGTGTGTTTGCGTTCCTCTACAGCACCGCCACGCTAATCATCTATTTGTGTTACAACCACTTGTACAGGGAACCTAGTCGGGGCCCGATCCTGGTAGGTTTGACTGGATTCACTCTATTTCTCTGTTGTTTTGGCTTAGCTAGGTCGTCCTCCAAACAGCTCACAGGTCAAGATGACATTACAGAACGACCAATTTAAAGCAAATTTGAAGTAAGGACATATTTTATGATTTGTAATTATTCACTTTAGTGATGCAGGAGAGCAGAGATAACGAGATGTCCACTCTCAAGTTTGAGGATTTAACAGAGACATGAAAATGAAAAACTGGGCAGGGCGTGGTTTCCAAAGCAGCTGGACACTGCTCTGTTCTCTGCTGAAAACATTTCAGTTGGGTCTCCTTGTGGGTTTTGTAGTGACATGTATTTTTTGCTGCTCAATAAGGACCTGGGGTTGACTGCAGTGTTCGCCTTCCTGTGGTTGGTATCATCTTCTGCTTGGGGTAAAGGTTTGTCTGATGTCAAGAGGGCTACCGATCCTACATTCTTGCTGACTCTTATTGACGTTTGCAAAGGTGGCGTGCACACGTGCACAACGGGGGCTCTGCCTTCCATGGGTCGATTGAATGCCTCTGTGGTAAGCTTTATGCAATTTATTTTAAGTAATAAAGCCTTAAATGGATAATTACCCTTGCTTTTTTTTTAAATTACCCATGTACAGTTTTGACTTCTTTTGTTTTATTTTTCGGCAGGTATTTGGTTTTCTTAACCTCATCTTGTGGGGAGGCAACTGCTGGTTTATTTACAAGGAAACGCCTTTCCACAAATCGGCCAACCCACCTGCAAATGTGGAGGGGTGACCGAAGCCATTCTAACTACACAGCCACTTCATTTTAAAATAGTCTAACATGTAGTGTTCCTACACAAATGCTTTTGGTTAGGACTGCAAAAGGAAAAATACTATTCTACGTATAACAAATGTATTTCAAACTGACTGCTCTTTTTTTTTTTGCAGTATTAATTTCAGATCTGGATTTTCTCTCAAGCACATTTTACAAAGAACATTTTTATATCTATGCATCAAATATGAAGGGCCCCTTATTTCTAATGAGACTATGGATGTGCAGTATTTTGTAACCATACATTCTGCATTCAGAATTTTTTTTTTTTTTAAAGGCTCAGGGCTGTTGAGTGTATGAAGTGCAAGAAACCTAACAAATAAAATATAGTTTAAGTGCATTGATTCTTAACACAACTCTAGACTGTGGATACGAATTTCAGCACAATCTTTATTATAAAGGCCTGAAAATATAGAGTTTCAAAAAATTCATCAAAAAAGTAGCCAGTGTGAGATTGTTTAAAGTGGGTCAGAGTCCCGTTTAATCTTTTTTGTTATTACGCCTCATCATCTCTTCACGTCAGGCTGATTTCACTTGTTTAGACTAACAGCTAAATATTTTGTTGTATGTGATGCCTCTGTTCATTAGGAACATGCCAACTCTTTAGGAATTTCACATTTCTCATGATTGCTTGGAATTATAAGATATTTATTGGGCGCTTCTCCCAATAGGACTTGCATTTTTCTGTTTCTAGATCTTTCTAAATCAAGGAGTGTGTTTCAATTGAGGAGTTTGTATTAAAATTACATTGTTCAATACACTATTTCAGTAATGTTGTCAACCCTCTTGTGTGAGCTTAGCTACTCATTGGTTCTTTTATTGTTTTGTTTTTTTCTTAAATGGTTGACTAATCTCTTGCCTGTTTTCAGTAATTGTATATTTCTTATCTCTCTTTTGCGAGGCTTCTACCTCCTCTTTGTTATAAGGGAATGCAAGCCATCTGCCTTAATTTCCACCACTCTTATGATATCCTACTTTTTGTGAGCGGGCTTGATTCCCAGTTTCCAGCTTTATCAATCAAATTGTTGTTAAAATGCTACAGAAGAGAATGGAGTCTGTGGTCGAATACAGAAAGAAATTGTGTGGACATGAAATGTCTTGCTTGATTAAAAGAAAGAACCATATTTGTTGTCAGATCAGTTTTTTTATGCCTGTTATTTCAGTGGCAGCACATATTGCATAACATGTTTGTAAGGCGGGTACACTGGAGTTCAGGTCTTACACACATTAAGGGTTACGTGTGTAATGGTTGAGCCCCACTTAAAAATTTTACAACCTGTGTAGACCTGATACCTGACCTTTGCTGAGCTTCATCACTGCATAAAGTGCAGAATATTTTTGAACTCAAAAACACAGCGTGTATATGTTTAATTTGTTTTACTGGAACATTTTTATGGTTTGCACAGTTGTTCAGACACAAAAAAAGCATATGACCAGCTTTGTGAAATTGCTGTGGAGCCATTTTTCGTCGAACTACAGCGCTGCAGAATAAGTTAAACTGCAGCAATTTTTACTACTAAACTAATATAAAACAATAAATAATATATATATACATATAAAGTATTTATTTATTTAAAAGAGGTCATATAAAGCGATGCAAAATCTAAAATTTTGTACTTTTATAATAAAAACTCTGGCAATATATGAGTAAACATGGTTCAGCACGGTCACGAGCTTCGTGAACTGCGCGTGAACTGGCGAATCGTGAGCGCGCAAGAGCTGCAATGGCCGCTTTGGATCGGCGAAATCCTAATCTCGACGATTTTGTCGGATTAAACTGGAGCTGTTGGGTAGACAGAGTGAATGTTTTATCATCTGACGGTGAGTCGTGCACCCCAGCTCCAGACCTGATTCCCAGCACGTCATAATGTCAGCATCCGACGATTTGTTTCGTTTTTTGGTACTTAAACACACACAGCGACACAAGGCACGACCCAAACAAAAGACGCGCTGGGTCCTAGTGCAGCGAGCTTTCGTCGTTTGTTGACAACCTATGAGCACAAATGGAAAGAATTTCCTCCTTATTCTGTTATGTGGTGAAAACAGAATGTTAAAGTCTTACTGAAAGACGCGGTTTGTTTTGGATCAGAGACAAGAGCATTAATTTAGTTGAAAATTTGCTCAACTTAAAGCTTTTACAGCAAAAGTGACTGTAATCAGTTGGCAATAGCTGTGGATGAATAATTCAAACTGACGCGTGAAACCCTCTCATGTGTGATATGCATCTGTTACTGTATAACCAAATAAACCCGTTTGTAGCAAGAAGATACTAGAATTTAGTATTTCATGCTCACGGGTTTGCTTTGCCTGCAGCTGGGTCTAAGGTTGAAGATGACGAGTATGGGATGAACTGCTCAGAGACCATGACGCTCGGAAAAGAAGGTGAGGACTGTGACTGGGCGCATTCAGTTAGAAATTTGCTTACAATCGTCACGGACATGAACGTCGTGGTTATTTGTGGATTTTAATAATTTCTTTGAACTGTTGCGTTTCCGGGGTGTAATGATTGTACAGCATGCATCTTAAATTACTTTAAAATAACAAGAATTGGATGTACATGTTTGAATTTATTTTGGATTTTATTTTATTTTTATTTTTTTCTCATCCACACAGGGTTGAAATAATAGACTCAAATGTAGACATACAGTAACTTACATTTTTAATAAGTGTTGCTGAAGTTTTTACGGTATCTTTTAACTTGACAAGGCCAAGGCTTATTAACTTCTTGTTAGTGATCATGATTAATTACAACTGGTAGATTTGCTTGACATCACTCATTGGCTTAGGCGATACTGACAGAAATAGGAGTGTTTAAAGAACTCAGTGAAGATCTAAGAAGGAGAAACCACCAAGGCTTAAGCTTGTCATGCATTGGAAACTCCTGGAGCACCAATGTCACTATGTTTACATTGCATTGGTACGAGAAGGTGCCTGGTCCAAAGCTGACGGCTTCAAACTCGACTGAAATTTGCAGCCGCCTGCATGGACAACCCATATGCCTTCTGCACAAAGGTTTCATGGTCACGTGAGACAAAGATTGAGTTATTTGGCCACAATGAAAATTGGTATGTTTGGAGAAGTAAAGGTAAGACTTTAAAAGATAAGAACATTGTACCTATTGTTAAGCATGGTGGTGGTAGCATCATGTGGCACTGGTACAATTCACAGAAAGAGGACTAGCTTCAAATTCTTCAACTCCACGTCAATTCAGCAGCTAGCTGGTTGAAACTTGGATGGGTGTTCCAGCAGGAAAATGATCCCAGGTGCACATCAGAGCTGGTTTTAAAATGGATAAACCAAGTTCACTTTAAGCTTCTGGATTGGCCTTCCTGAAACTCAGACCATGGCTGTGTTGAGCCCGTATTTATACTTCTGACCCTGTGTGCTTTAGAACATTTCCAAAACAAATTCAAACTTGTGCACCTAATTCTTGTTTTTTAAAGCCAGTAAAGATGTTTGCTGTACAATCATCCAACCTGGAAAAAAGAACAGTTCAAAGAAATAATCGAAAGCCCCAAATGACATTCACATCATGTTGTCATGAGTGTATGTAAACATCTGACCATAAATGTACCTAATTTTGTCTCTCCTTCTTTTTCTTCTCTACAGATATGCACATATATGGCCACTGCCCAGCACACGATGATTTTTATTTGGTGGTGTGCAGCCAGTGTGGTCAGGTGGTGAAACCTCAAGCTTTTGAGAGGCACTGTGAAAGGTTGCATGGTTCTGTTACGAAGATATGTAACCCGCCATCCGCTCTGGCGCCTCAGCAGCTAAATTGCTCCAGCCTCGGTCTTTCTAATAATTCTTCCTCTATGGAAAGGAAGAAGGAAGGCAGATGTCAAAAGGGCGGCACCTCATCTGCAACCTCACCTGCCCAACAGCACAAGTCTACAAAGCCCCACAAATATATAGTGAGGTACTGTTTACGAGTGCCCGTTCATGAATTAGTAGTTAATGCTAAAATTAACAGATTAATTGTTATTGGAGAACTCTTCCCTGCTCCTCCTGGAGATGTAGGCAAAAACACATTTACATCTTCTAGTTTATATCTTGCATATTTATCAGTGTTGTCTCTCATGTAAGTCTGAATATCATGAATCTAATAAGTTAATTCTAAGCTCATTTTAAACTTCTTTCTGTAGTTTATCTTCTGTGAAGTTCCCCGAGGAAAACCCTCACTCGTCCTCCATGCCTTGCCTTCCTCCATTCCATTCAGCACCCCTGCCCCCTGACGACTGTTCCACCTCCACTCTGTTAGAGAAATCCTCTGTGCAGAAGTTGACAGCTGGACAGTCCACTGAGTCTCACTGTCCTCAGCGGGGCATAAGAACCTACAGCCGGATTTACAAAAACATCCACAGTAAGTCAGCTTTTTCCCCCAACTTTTGTCTATTACTTCCCCTGCTGCTTACTGGGAAGTCTGCCCACTTAGTGTGTTAACTTGGGCTTAATGTGTTGTACATCAGTATTTGCATTTTTAAGTAACAGCCTGCATGGATCCTCCTGACAAGTCCTGCTGTTGCTGACTGACCTTTGTGTTTGTGCTTTTCTCCACATAGAAAAAGAATGTGATCTGAATAAACACGGCAGAGTTTTGGACCCCGAAAGGAAGACGCTGTGCAACAGGGAGCTAATGTGCAATGTAAACTCTCAGTACATTGTCATGGCACATTGCCCAGAGTTGTTATCATTTACTTATTGTAGTTAACTGTATAAAACTTTTATTATTTCATACAAAACCAAACTATGTCACTTTTTCCTTTTCTCTTTTGCACTGCTCTCTCACGGTTCTTTCTTTCATAGGCTGATTCAGTCAAGCATCAGCAGAAAGTGTTGGGAGAGACTAAGACCACTGATCAGAGAACTACCTCAGCTACAGATCAAGATATGGAGAAGCTTCGTGATGAATCAAAATACAAAAAGAAACATGTGGAAGCTGACGGGGAAAAAATAACAAATAAAGACAGCAACAACTGCCACATTCAAGGGTATGAGTCTTAGTGTATACCTTAGCAGATTATTGCAGTAAATTAAGTATTTCTTTCAGTTATATAAGAAAGCAACATACTACTGCATACTCAGCGTCGTACAGTGATGGAGGATAATTGCAAATTGTTGAGCTGCAGTTCTCCCATTGTAGTTCAGTCTGTGTTAGTCCACGCTATAATGAGCTTTCCTCCATTACGAGTAAAAAAAACCCCAAAAACACTTTGAATGGAAATCTTGAGGATTACCAGACAGATGTTACAGTCCTGATAAGTATGCATCGTCTTTTGCATATCTGCATATTTATTTTATCACATGAAACGGATGTAGGTTTTTTATTTTAATGTTTTTTTGTGGGCCATGCGCTAGCTGTCACAACAGTCTCACGTTTGCAATACTTTGCCTTCACACAGGTCCAGGAATCCACCAGGAAGCTCTCCCGAGGAGGAGGGTAACGGCACTGTGGAAGCGGAAGTGCAACCTCCGTACCCGTTCACCTGGTCAAGTGACGACAGTGAAGAAGATGAGCAGGATGAAGCCACAGACCTACCTGCTACACCCTGGCACCCCAAACCTCTTGGGGTGAGGGCGAGATATACAAAATGCACAGCAGCTGGTTGATGGGAAGGTTGTTACGTTAAAAAAAATCTTTAATGACTGTTTTCAGAGGGGCTGTGTGATAATCTTTCTAATATAGCATAAAATCCATGTTATATTTCTCAAAACAAAAAAGGGTGGTGTGGATGTTTATGTACTTTCAATTCTTTTTAAAGATGTTAACGGTGGAAATTTACACATTGCTTTCATGCAGCTATGCACTTTTGGATGTCGCACGCTCGGTTGCAGCATCTTCACATTTGATCGGCGTTTGCACCACCTGCGCTTTGCACTCAGTGCCATGTTGGAGCGCCATGTCAGCACACACTTGTGGAAGTGAGTATTACTGTTTTTTAAATGGCACCCATTTGCCCAAAACAAGTTGAAGAAAAGACCTGCTGACTGAGCTTAAAAGACAACTATCCACAATATGCAAGAGCCTCCACTGAACTAGACACTGAAATCGCTACAGGGAGGAGGTCTACTGTGGATGGCCTCAGCTACTCCCTGGTAATTGTCTAAATAACAGAAACATCAGCTTTTTTTTTCTTTTCTATTTCCTACCTTTGCTGACGGGTTGAAAAACATCTGTTTGCACTGCATGTCTTCACTTATATTACAAAGAAAAGCCTTGATGCCTGCCGTGAGGCTCATTTGCAGCTTCATAGCTTTGGATGCTTTAATGCTCAAAGAACACACTGTTTCAAATCCTTCATCTTGATGCAAACCCCCACCAACCGCATCCTCTGCTTTTTAACCACAACCATGTTGGTTACATTTATAAATAACACCCCTGACAAAACTCAGAAGACTGAAACACAAAACCATACCCGGAACAACAATGCCATGGTATCCGTCAGCATTACAATTTTGCCATTGGTCTGGCATAAGGGCATAAGCTAACACCAATGTTTGCCACAATATAAAGAAACATCTCTTTTTGTGTGTGATGTGATTTTGCCCGATTGTGCCATATTTACAGTACAAAATTTTAATTTTAGCATTGCGGCGCAGTGAGGTGAAAATAACTCGTGACAGCTGGTTTCCATGAGTATTATTGGACTGTGTTTCTTTTTGAAGTCTAGTACTAGAGACAGTTCAGACTTTAAGCCGCTGTTTAATTTATCTAATAACAAAATGAGGCTTCAGCTAATAGTGCAGAAAACTCATGGTAAGTGAATCTGCCTTTGAGTTTTATTTTATTGGAATTACCTTCACTTTTTTTTTTCTTTTACTTGCAGGAAAATGCCTAAAGTATCATCAGGTCTCAGGTCACACTCCCACAGCCTTGAGTCTACCTCACTGGTACAGTTTGAAAACAATCCTTGTCAGCCAAACTCTTACAGTATTAAACCGCCTTATCCTACCACGTCTGCAAGTGTCGGGTCAGGGAGAGTGTGTAGTCCCAGCAAAGCTCAGCTTATAGAGGTGGAACTTATGCAAGATGCAAGCGCAGCACAGAAAGCTGTCAAGAAGTTACAAAGCAGTGAGATCAAAGCCTCCAGATACATCAGGGATCCCTTATTTCATCAGAAGGGCCAGCCTCAGCGACCAGACAGTGCTACCTTCTCAAATGGAAAAAAGCCACGAGAGTCTACGAAGAGACAGTCAGATGTGAAGAAGTGTCGACCTTTGCCTGTACCAAATCACCGCTCTCCCCGCAGCAAAGGGAAGCTCCCAGGCGATCAGCAGAAAGTGGTGGCCTATGACCACATGAGTGTTGCTCAGAAACGCAAAAGCAGCAGCGAGTTGCTAACCTGAACTTCTTCACTTTCAACAGTCTCTAAGTTGAAATGTTTGTCCCATTCTTCCTGCTCCAGCTTTGCCTTCTGGAAGGGAGAAAATATCCAACATGTACTTACATAAAGGTTTGACAAAAAGCTCGACCCCTAAACACAGTATTGCTTTTATCTTATATTCTGAATCCATTCCTCTTTTTTTATTTTAAAGTCATGAATGGACAGTACGTCTTCTTCATTTTAATTTGAATGTGATGTAACAACAGTAAACGTGTTTGGTAAGTGACAGTTGCTGTTTACATCTCAGCTTTTCAGCCAAACAAGAGGCCAGTCTTAAAACGACCACTTGGAGATGAAGCGGTGCAGGACAGCTGGTACCAGCATAGTATGAGTGTGTGAATGTGTGTGTGGTTTTTGTCTTTTGTGTATATTTGTCTTCAGGTTTTTATGCAAAGATTTCAGGAACAAGTGTTTGTATTGACATATTTGTAATTCTTATTGCTAAATTTATAAAAACTGTTTAAGAACATAAGTATACCTCAGTCTGTTCATAATGCTGCTAAAGTTACTAAGTTTTTTTGTTGCAGAACAATTAAAGTCTTGCATTACTCTTGCTCTCTGATTTTCATTATTTCACAGCGGTTCTGTACAGATGAGTCATTAAAGACTAATGACTAAAACTTATTTTGATAAATTGAAATCCACTCAATTCATAAAAGCGATTGCATCTACTCGTCCGATAATTTTTCATCTTTAAACACCAGATGGTGCTATATATGCATCTGGAAAATGCACTGCTTTTTCTCTAACGATGTAAACGACATTGATCTCAAGCCACCTCCCATTTCTTTATATTTTGTTTCCAAGGAGCCAGACTCTTATAATTTGTTGTTCATCAGTGGTTCTCCAGGCTTTCTGAAGGTCTTTCAAAGAGGACTTTTTTATTTGTGAAGCTATTTAAAATATTCAAGTGTTAAAAGACAGCTAACTCAAGGGATAGAGCTGTGTTGAGTCTACATGTAACGGATAACTTGGCAAAGAACCAATTTTAGATTATATCTTTGGACACTTTGTTACTAGCAGACTGTTGCAAAAACACTTTCATTCCCATTTATCAGCTAGTAGCTGAAGACTTGGCACATCTCAGCAGGATGTGCAGTGTGTCCTTAAAAAACTGAGTCTAGACAAGTGGAGGAAAAAAAGAAAATGTGCTGGGCCTAAAAACGATTTTCAACCAACGAACAGTACCTGAAAGTCATGTTTTCAAGAAAATGGAAAAAATAGGACTTGGGTGATGGCCCTTTAGTTGATCCTTCAACCAAGTTTCCGGAAGTCTCGTCAGATATGATCTCAGTGGAAGAGTGGCTGTCAAGCATCCATTCTTAAGGAAAACAAATGTGGAGAAAAGGCTGAGGTTGCCAAATTATACAAGAACTGGACTGAAAATCAGTTACAACAGGTGATGGAGAGAGAGTGGAGGCTGCATTTCAGCCGAGATCTTTGTCAAAATTGATAGAAAGTTGAACACAGAAAAGTACCATCATGTTTTGATTCAACATACAATATCATCTGGAAAGCCTCTGATTGGTAACGGCTTCATGTTCAGCAATGACAATGATCCCAAACAGACTGCTAGTGCAGTAAAAGAGAAAAACGCAATGAAACACTATCAGTCATTGATTGGCCTCCCGGAAGCCTGAACCTGAACATTATTGCAGCAGTGTGGGATGATCTAAAGACAGTCAACATCCAAAGAAGAGCTTTGAATGTCCTTGTAGAAGCCCAGAGAACTATTTCTGAAGACTAGTTAAAGAAATTAGAAAAAAGCTGCCCAAGAGAGTTCAGACTGTGTCGCATAATAAAGGTGGTCACAACACATATTGACTTTTAAGCTTTTAGAATTGTACAAACTCTGATTGTGACTTAAATACTGTATTTCCATGTATGTTTGCAGACCTCAATAGAATCGCTGCAGCTGAGAAAATGTGAAGAAATCATGGCTGACTCGAGATTTTTACACAGACCTGTAGATCTACTTATTTATATCAATAAATTAAATCCTGCTTCCTGTTTTAGAACATTGTGATTGTGGTGCACAGTCAAAGGTTTCTGAGAAAGTTTGCAATCATTTATGAATTCATTTGTAATACACAAGGGTGCCACTGATTAATTTTGGTGTTCTCTGCATAGATAAAATACCCGCTATCATCTAAGTGATCCCAGTTTTTCCAGCACCAAATACAGATTCAGTGGAACCATTATAAAAAGACATAATGCTCCTATGAAACTACTTACCCTACTTTCCTAGTGAACAGCAAATGTCAATATTTACAGACTGTAGTGTTTTACGTAATGTTACCACTAGATGGTGTCAAGGCATCGATGATGTATTTCATATGTAACCAACAGGATCTCTTCTATTCCCTCCACACGATACAAGCAGAATGTAACTTTGGAAACTTCGATGTATTAGTTTCATATCCAAACTGGTACTAAATCTGAGAACATTGCTCCATACTCTTTATTTAATGCAACACCTGCTAAGATGTGTATGCGAAGAACAAGTTTCACGAAACAACAATTTCTGATAAAAGTGAAATCAGAGGCAACAAAGAGTGTAAATTTGAATCTTTTATTAAGTCAAAAGATATATCAGTATTTTTTGTCTTTAACGCCTACTGGTTTATTCTTATGAAGTCAGAGAAGCTCCTAAGCATACCATGCAAAGCCATTCAACTTTAGCTGCGAGACCTTTCATTTCTTAGGGCAGTGACCAATCGTATCATCTTTGAAGCAGTGGTAAATAAACTTAGTGCTTTGTATGCTGTTAAAAGCTTCCTTCATGTCCTTTGGAGACTAGCAGCACTCTTTTAAAGCACCAAGCTTTTAGCCTCAGCAAATCATGAATGTTCCCTTAACTGCTACTTCATAGCTAGATGAGTGGAGATGTGTGCTGGGCAGCGAGAGATCACTCTCCTCCCTAATTGGTGAGTCTAATGTACCATTAGGGTAAATAGCAAAGGGCCTGTAACATGCACAGATCTCGAGACCCAAACTTTGTCTCATTGATAGTACAAATATGAACTCTTTAAAATGTGATCCCTAAGTTTCATATTGTATGACATAGTCCTGAGATTTACTCACCCGCTATGTTTAAAGCCATTGAGAACCCATTACATTTCAGGAATTTGTTGGTGTGCTTGGAGATCATTCCTGATTTTTATTTTAAAAAACAGGAAAAGATTTGTACATACAGAAAAGCTCTCGCTTTGTTACAACACTGCTGCTGCAAAATGCACCTACTTGCACCTCCCTTCATCATCTGACATGTCACCAATGTGATAAAGCACTGCGCTGCTTATGGCTTTATTAGCAAAGTCAAATACTGGCTGAATATGACTGGAGGCTACATACTCACTGCCCATTAGGATGTCTCATATGCAATTATGCAGTTATTTCAAAAGTGTCCCCTTTTTCCCATGCAGAGTTTGTTCAGATATATTCTCCGTTTAGCCATATTCATCACCAGACACACACACACATCCCTCAATTAAAAAAACAAAAACAAAAAAAAAAAAAAAAAAAAACAAAAAAACAAAAAAAAAAAAAAACAACTGAACTCCACCTGGCTTAAAAAATAAACACACATATCCAGACTTGAATGTTAAAACAACTAACAAGATCACAGTGACAGACATAATGCAAAATGAACATCATCAGTTTATACAAGGATACAGTCATTACACTGATAGAACATAGCAGTACACAACTAAGCAATACTGAACACACAAAGTGAGTCTCACTACGTATATATACTGTATATATAGTTATTAATATATATAGGAAGGCAGGTTTGCTTTGAAGAGAACAAAGACACTCTTTCTTTCTATTTTAGGTCCCTTGCAATAGCACTAATTTATACAGAATTGCAACCTGTATTTTAAATGACAACACAGAGGAGTAGACCACCCATTACCCACAGCAGATTTAACTGGACTGACATCGGGTTCATGCAGGGAAAACACAACCATTTCCCAGTGATCTGGTAATTTAGCGTGCTCAATAGCGGTAATATCTGTGTATTGTTTCCATTTTTAGCTTCTCAGCTTTTGTCTGGGCTCAAAAAGGTGAGTAGTCTGAGTGGGGAACAGGTTAAAAGCTCAAAACGGGATTCTGTGAAATGTGAGCATCCTGGCCAAATGGAACCAGTCTGCGGTAATGCTAAATGCGGCTCTATTTAAGTAGGATTTTTGGGTTTTTTGGCGTCTTCGTTTCTCCACCTGGTATTCCAATGTGTGAGAGAGTGGAATGATTCACACACACACCACCTCTCAGATAAATGTGACTTCCTTTTCTCGCCCACGCAGGAGACGTTTAGTGGTGCACACAGTGTCTGTGACTATTCCACCTATTTTGCGTACAAGCCTACTGCACCCACAAATGTGTACGTCTTTGTGTGTTTAGCTGCAAGATATATTAATAACTATCATTTCTAATAGAAGGTATTCTTTGAAGCTGAATTCAAAAGCGTAATGAATTATCATATCTTACAGTACTTTTCACCCGTGTGACTAAGTTGGAGTGTAAATGTGTAAAGAAAGGTGCAGGCGTTTCCCTCATTAACAAGCTGCAGACTACCTAAAGGGCGTTGCATTCATTGCCTAGTTGAACGATTGCTTTTGAACTAAGTAAGGGCAGCTTCAATGACAGCGGTACACAAACAAAGCAAACACATCTGGGCTGAATTGTGGCTGTCGGTATACAGAGAGCCAGGGAGAATGGTTTTGTGTTGCTGTGACTCATGATAACACACCAATCCCCTTCAGCTCGAAGAGACAAAGACACAGAAAGAAGAGGGACGCTACATCCCATCAAAGGAAGCAATTAGCATTTACTCCAGGCTGGCCTTGTCGTATTATGTCACGAACACCGCGCACGTTAATGAAATCTTTCTTGTTTTTGCTAAGAGACAGTCTCCTGTTTAAAAGTTGTTAATGAAATATGCGCCGCACACCAGGTGTCTTGCACATGAAATTACTTTTACAGTTAATTCAGTAATATGTGTTGGCAAAGGGATCTTTTCAAAAGATCCCGGGTCCCCTGTGTTAACTGAAAATTTCCTGTCAGCAGCCACAAGCACTAAAATGAGCCTTTTCTTGTCAAATTATGCACAGCCTCATGTTACGCATAAGCTTAATTTTCTGGTGGAGTCAGGAGACTTTTTTATTGTTATTTCACCTTCAGTGTTTACCTGTTAATACAACCTAGATCCTTGTCTAACCACCATAACAAACAGCTACATTTTCTGTGATATGAGGATCTGCCCATCTGAGCAAAATGCAAGATGAAATACTTTATGACAAAGTTTAAGATGTATGGGTAGAAATTTGTGCTATTCGGGGATTTTGTGCAATGTGCAAAAATGCAATAAAATAAACTCTGCAGCAGCTTTTTTTTTAATGTTGCGGCTGACAGAAACTAATGCTGTAACTTGACCGGGAGAAGGAGTTAAACTTGACGGCAAGTGGCACCTCGGTGGACGACAAACAGAAGCCTTGTCATCCTTGTAAGGAGTGTGGCACCTTTCTGTATACAGAATTCAGACGATCTGTTGATAATCAGTCATAACAAAATACTTCCCTGCACCTAATGTGTATCTGTTGGAGGTGCTCACTGCTTTTAATTGTGTAAGACTGCAAATGTTTCTTTGGGGTTATACTGTGCAGCAACTAAGAGGCAACTTTTTTGATGAACAATTCATTTGTGAAAAATAATTAGCGTGGAGTTAGTTGGCAGTTTTTTAAACTGATTCCCTTAACATATAGCTGCTGGAGTATGATGTAGGATGAATATGACCTGTGGTGGTTTGTGCTACCTCAGTGAATGACTAAACATCTGAAAAATCTGTATCTTTCTTTATCTTACTCATCCAGTTCAGGCTGGGATCTCGGATAACATTGTTTTATGGCGTGCTGTTTTACTATAGAGGACTCAAGGTTAAGGTCAAATGTATTCATAGCCTAGTGACGTCAGTCAGTCTAAATCTCTTTCTCCTTGATAGAGGAGAGGTACATGAATCTGTGCTCTAATGTTTACTTACAATACAAGCTACTCTAATCCTTAATAATAAATATAATTATGAGCTACCCACGGATTCAGTATGTATACTATTTGTGAACTAAAATTCTTCTTACATCTAATTTCCGTCTATGCCTTTTATTTTCCCAACTTTTTCAGTTTTATTGATCACTTCCTGAGTGCTGACGTCAACGACAGGACATCTACGTTTCGCTCTCTTAGGACTCTTAGTTTTCCCTTTCCGTCTACACTGATATTCCTTCACAGTATGAATATTA